CTCATCCCTGGTTCTTCGTATCCAACTTTTGTTACGCCCTATCTCATGGCAAGCACAAAGATAATGATTTTTGTTGGGTCCCCGGTCAAGTTGACATACAGGGCAATGAACAGGCAGACTGCTGCACGGTCAGTGTTATATGACCTCCCAACTGAGGTGTTCCATTCACAGACTTAAGCTGTAATTACTACCCACCTTTGCACATGTTGGCAACAACGCTGGTCTGATCTACATAATTTGCATTCTATTAAACCAAGTATAGGTTTCTGGCCCTCCTTGTCATCATTGTCGAGGTTGGGAGACTACACTCGACCGTCTTTGCATCGGCCACACTCGTGACCTCTTCCACTCTGAGAATTATCAGGCTCCAGATGTGTCGGCAGATGAAGCTATGAGAGAGAAGGCGAATCATATAATTGACAGGAGGAAGCAAAGAGGGGAATGTCTAAGAGTATAATAGCTATACCAATGCTCTTATATGGATGTGAATCACGAGTGGTGAATGGTGCTACAAGAAGGCTGGAGGCAGTGGAGATGTCATGTCTGAGTTGAAATGTGTGGTGTGAATAAAATGCAGAGAATCCATAGTCTGGGAATTGGGAAGTGGTGCAGGATTACCAAAACTATTGTCCAGGGGGCTGAGGAGTTGAGGTGGTTCGGACATGTAGAAAGGAAGGAATAAAAGAATGACTTCGAGTGAAGGGAAGGCGGGGTAGAGCTTTATGAAGGTTGGTGGTTTTGTGTTTGAAGGGCTTAGACTTTCAGCAAGGATGCGTGAGCATGTCCGACAGGAATAAATGAAGAGATGGTTTTAAGGACTTGACGTGCTCTTGGAGTGTAAGCAAGGTAGCATTTACGAAGGGATTCAGGGAAACCGGCAGGCCGGACTTTAGTCCTGGATGTGGGAAATACAGTGCCTTCACTGACAGAGGTGTTAATGTCGCAGGTTTATAAATGTAGTGTAAGCGTGCCTCTGGCAAGGCAGAGTGAATGACGAAAGTTTTTCTTTTTTGGGCCACCCTGCCTTAATGGGAAACTGCCAGTGTGTTAATAATAAAGGCAGATGGATGTGTGCTCATTGGAAACCCTGCCAGCTCTAGAGCTGCCACGATTGCAATCCCGGACAGAGTGAGAGCGTAATCACGAAACGCAATATTCTAGGATGTCATTTTGACAGCACCTACATCAGCAGCTCTCATGAGAAACTTCCGTTTAAGGTGGCACGTGTGGTGTTTCCAGTAAATTTCAAAAGTGACCGCAGGTGAGTTGACTAAAATTGTGAGCGTAGTTGTATCAACCCAAAGTAGAACACTGTCCATCCCACGTAATTTGTATTTAAAAATATGTCTGAAAATGTAAACCCTTTTTAACCCATAGGGTAAGTCGAATTGTATCAGGGCTTTGAAGCCAGTGACGGTCCTCTAGTATAACACCGTGAGCTCAACTTACTCGTGCAAGACGATTTTTTTTTTTTGGGGGGGGGGGGGGAGGGGAGGGTGTGTAAAATTTGTATTTTGCCAGGGTTGTAAGTTATGGTGAAATGTCTTCTCAGGTAGGGGGCTATCCCACTAATTGGCAGACAATAGTCCTACTGGTGATGGGATCCACTGTCTGGTCAGTGGGGGGTCATGTTGGGCACTCCACTGGGGTGGAATTTTAGGTCAGGTGCCCCTGATCTAGAGTGGAATTTTAAGGTTACTGGTGAGGGAATATTTATTTTACAGATCATGAACTAGAAGACGCAACAACAGTGTTAACTGAAGCGGCAACAATAGTTAAAACTGAACATTCACTAGAACAGGAGTGGGTAACGTCCGGCCCGTGAAATCATTTGGTCTGGTCCTGCCACAACAACTGCAGGCGGCACTAAATTCAATAAATCTAGCAGCTTTTTTCATAGCCACAAATTTATGTTAACTTTTCCCCATGCCGATTTACAGTGTAATGAAAAAAAAATCGAAACCTAAAAACCAAGCATGTCTACAGAATTATGAAGATAACTTCTAGCTTTCATTTGATAAATTTTATAAAAATTGGAAACTTTAGGAAGATTATGACGATATTTTTTTACGTGAGTAATTTTGCAATTTTCTATGTAATCTCCCTGGTTTTCTCATTACTCTCTGTTCACTATGATTCATAAGAAATACCTCCCAGTCGAATTCTCAAGTTCTAACACGGATGGAAATGGATCTGAAGAGGAATCCTATCGTTTTTGAACAATTTGTAACCGAAAGCAATGATCAGGATATCGAAAATAGTGCTGTAAACCCTGACGACTCTCAATCTTCCACCTCTGGTAGTGGTCTGTCACGTTTAGTTGTAAAACGTCACAAAAAATTTTTTGCGTGGTCAGACCTCGTATGAGAGGACGAAGAACATCTTGTGGCCCTACACCTGGAATAGTGAAAGTGACGATGTGGCTACAGTTGGGATGGATAGTAGACTACAAGCGTCAGTAGGTGGTGCAGGTGCCGCGGCCATGCTGGATGATGCACCAGCCCAAGCTGGAACCCACGCCACTGACAAGTCCAGGATAAGGACATCCTCAACCAGCCCCACACCACAATCACAACCTGCACAACCACAATCAGCTTAGGATGTCCAGTACCCACCAGCAAACCATCTGGGATTGGCAGTGAATCCCATTTTGTTACCAGTCATCATCAATTTAAGAAAGTGGATTTCGGCCGCCTTGTTCACTTGGAAACACTACAAGCGAACTGCAATTCTTTGAACTCTTCTTCAACCAGTCCTTGAAAGAAAATATTGCCTGGGAAAGTAACGAAGTATTTTAATTACACCATCGCATATGAAAAGCTTTCAAAATAGTCAAGACTACACCGGTGGCAGGAGACAACTGTGGCAGAGATTTAGCAGTTTTGTAACAATAATGCTTATGTCATACGTCTACAAGCATAATATCAAATCATAATGGTCCACAGATCGGCTAATTTCTACCCTGGCCTTCAGTGATATTATCCCAGCAAACCTATTTGTCCTATTATTACCTATGTTACACTTCTGACAAAACCCGTCCTGTAAAGTAAAAGGACACAAGTGCAACTAATGTGACATTTATTGTGGCAACGTTTCGCTCTCCAGGAGCTTTATCAAGACATTACAAACAATACACGGACACAGAGGGTATATAAAGGCTCAGAGTGAGGTGAATACTAGTGAGGTACCATTTCGATGTTCACTAGTGGTGGTGGTGGTAGTAGTAGTAGATAGGTAGTAGTAGTAATGTCAGTATATGTAATATTGTTATAATATAATGTAATGTATAAGTAGTTAGTTGAGTATTAGTAGTAGTAGTGTAGTAGTGTATTAGTTTGTAGTAGTAGTAAGTAGTCAGTGTGAGTAGACAAAAGTAATACATATGTAGAGCAATTAATTGTTACCATTTATTTACTTTTGTCACTACTACTACACTAGTGAAATCGAAATGGTACCTCACTAGTATCCACCTCACTATATTGCACTCACTCTGCGCCTTTATAACCTCGTGTCCATGTAAGTTGCTAATGGCTTGATTAAAGCTCCTGGACGAACAAAACGTTGCCACAATTAAATGTCACATTAGTTGCACTTGTGTCCTTTTACTTTACATAGTGTCGTATTCTACAACTTTTTACAAAACGTCCTGACAGATAAAGTCTGCAAGATTAGAAGTTAGGTATCTGAAACAAAGTTAACATTGTAATTTCATCCATTTAAGAATCTTAATGGTGAATCTGATTTTGTCCAGGATAGACGGTCGTTGAGGCATGTATATATCCGCAGTATCAATTGTTTACTTGTGACGGGTAGTGAACTTTCTAAGTTCCAAGAATTATTGGGTATCTTGGAAGTGGCGAGAAAATGAGGAATATCTTGTTAAGGTAACTAAATTTCGTACATAAGTGGTACACATAGTTAGGATTTCTAGCAAGTGAAATGCATTTTCAGACGAGTACATGTGCGTGAAAATGGATAAAATATGCCTTCAGTGTTCAAATGAGGCACTCGTCAGTGAGTGAGGTGCAGATGTTTGTTGCCAATGACATGCTTACAGTGGCATGACAAAGAGATGTCATGTTTACGATTCATCCATTCACCATAACTAAATTTGCAGTGGAAGGAAATGGAGACCAATGAATCATTCTAAACTGTGGCTTAAACGGATACCTCAAATGCTTCGTGACAAATGTGACTGAGATTATATTTGCTGATGTCACTTGTCCCAAGAGTTCTAGGTACATTAAGTTTTTTTCGTCTTGAGACACTTCCATGCTCATTGCATGTGTGTAATGCGACGACAGAAACAGGCCTCATATTAAGATTTTGTTTATCAACAATAACAGTACCAGGTAATACCTGCGATACAAAACAGTCGACAAACTGATCACCAAATACCCTCATTTGAGGCATGGTGATCACTACCTAATACAACTGCTTCCTTTTAAGAAGTTTGCTCAGAGGTATTATGTCCGTGCACATACAACAAAGCGCTCACAAAAATGCAGACACTCATTTTATGTGTGAGGAGTGTAAAACCAGTAGATATATCACCAGGTTTTATGAGTGGAGAGTAAAACATCACTGTGTACAGCACCATGTTTCAAAGACATCCACAGACTGCAGCAGTTCTAGGACCATGTCCAGTGACTTACAGGGATTTTAAAAAGATGGAGCCAACGCATGCTGCACCTCAGTATATTATACAACATTAGTAATAAGCATTTCTACTTGATTGTGTAAACGAGTATTGTAAACAATACAATGACTGTGCGGTTATTGTCTTGCATACAGAGTGAATATATATACATTACATTCGTCTCACAGCTCACAAAACACATTGAAAAATATTACAAAGTAACATCAGCCAATCACCTTTGTCAACCTGACGCATCTGTCTCGGCAAGTACTGATTCCAATAAATTGTTTTATAACACTCACAGTAGCAGTAGCAGTAGCAGTAGCAGTAGCAGCAGCAGTAGCAGCAGTAGTGGTGGTGGCAGCAGAAGCAGCACTAGTGGTACTTGTAGTGGTGGTAGCTGCAATAGTAGTGATGGCAGCAGCACTTGTTGTACTAGTAGTGGTGGTAGTAACAGCGCTAGTGGTAGTAGCAACAACTTAGTCATAACTACGACCACAATTCAGAGATGAACCAGAGCACCAACATTACTGCTCATCGACGCACGACTGGACACTCCACACGTCTATCTGTCATCAATAAACCTCGATAATACAACTAGCCACACAACACAGTGAACCCTCCATATAACGCACTAAGAGCGACAAACATCAGTGTCCCATCAATCAGATTAATGATAAAATTTGGCAAAGAAATTACTTATTGATTTTTAATAATAATCCATACAACTAGTTGTATTTTTATACACCATACATTACCTTCCCCCTATACACACACATCTAGTATACACCTAATATACACGATAACATAGTTAAAAAAGTAGAGTTTAGCCAGAGAATTCCCCCCCCCCATTAATTCTAAAATTCGGTACATCTAATGCTTACTGTATCTAAAAAACTAGCCACACAAGTATGTGCTTCTGGACGATGGGCTCTAGTTCTTGGCTCCATTGTCCTCATCGCTCTAGGGCTGTGTGGACGTGCTGCAAAAAAGCTCCTGCTTCCTCTGTTGCGCAACTTCCTATTTTCTCCAAGATGGCTGCCAGTGGCCGCAGGAGTAACACTGTGTTGACCTAGTCAAAGGGGCAATTTACCCAACATATGCCTCTGTTTTGCTGCCGACGATCGTCAGGGATACTTTCTGTATTGCCAAAGATCAGTTATATGGGATTGCTCCGAATGGTTCTACAAGGATTTTCGTCAAATTCTGCACAGTGGAAGCTTACGAAAGGACGGTAACTAACTACCAGGAGAATTATCACCGTTTCATCTGGGCTGGAGGTACGCTGCGGGATGCCTCCAAATACTACCCTGGGTGAGATTTGGAATGTTCCTTTGAAGCAGATGACGTGGATGTTCGAGAGACATTTCGAAGCGATGGTGAGGTACATGCTGTGACTTTGGAACAATGGACGGAATGAATCACCATGGGGCTTCCTGCGGATCTTAAAATATTCAGATGACTTTGAGAAGACTACCCCTCGTATGTTGTCCTGGAGGATTTTATGACAGGTTTGTGACCTATGCAGACACGTAAAACGTTCGAGACTGTGGTGGTGCTTTTGATCACATGGCAGCCGAGTTGTAAGGCTGCAGCTCCACGGTTCAAAGGAAATGCCAGGTAGCCACAAGTCGTTGGGCTCCGGTTGCTGCGTTGTTTGCTGCAGGCAAAGAGAATTGGGCAGAGAATGAACGTGAGGAGGAGCATCGTGTGACGCTACCAAAGTTGTAGTCCGCCACAGGAGAACCTGCAGTTGAAGCAGCAGCCTGTGGGAGTGGGGGAGGCGGTGACCTCCACAGGAATTACTACTGAACCTCTGCAGATGATCAAGTCCTTCCTAACGTGCCAGCGGAGGAGAACCCATCAAGACGGAGGACTTCTGATGTTGTGGACCGGATTGGACAGGCCACAGGGTCTCGAGTGTCGACGATCTGGGCATGTGGCAGTGGTGGTGAGGTGCATCAGTAAGAGTGGAATAATGACATGGAGATGTTGAGGGTGGCTTCTATAGAGAGCTGGAGGTCTGTCGGATGACGAGGTCATCTCAGCTCAGCGACTGGCAAGAAAGGACGTGGGCGGGAGTAACTAAGAAGAGCAGGTATGCACAGGCAGGGAGTGAGGGAATCATGGATGGGGCAGAGTGTACAGGAGAAGTCAGGAGTAAAAAAAAGTGTTATAGACAGGGCACAGAGACAGAGGAAAGCCACCTTTTTTAGCTAAGGTTTAACTATAAAGTGATGGCCTTAGAGCTGAGTAAACGTGAAGTGGTTCAGAATGTTTGGATTTGATGTTGAGTGTGCTTTATACAGGAAACAATTTTAAGTGTGGCAGAAGAGTTGAGATTGAAAGGGTTTAGGATGTATGCTGGTAGTTTCAGGGTAAGTAAAGGGTGGGGTGGCAGTAGTGACAGGCGAGGGAATCAGCATTCAAGTGCGCGTGGAAGAGGGTAGGGGAGGAGGGTGGAAGAGTGGAGGGCTCTGGGGGAGATTAGAACGTTTTCGTGGATAATACATTGCCAAGCTGATAATAACGATGGATAATGGTCGAATGTTATGCAGGATGTTCTGCTTTTCCACTTGCGGGTTTACCCATGGTTTCCATAGTTGGTGGGATGGAATTGTTGTATTAGAATAAGGATTGAAGGAGGGGTGCAGGTGTGTGCTTGGGTGTACGGGGATTTGTCATGGAGCAGGGGTTTTATGAATGTAGTCGGGGGTGATGGGTGGAAAGTGGAGCACACGTTCATGCGGAGGGGTTATGCTGCAGATTAGATCGTCATTAATAACTCGTGCGATTACAGTAGAAACGTGTGCATGCTGTTGACCATGTGCCCATGTTTGGCAGTAGGGTGGCTGGATTGGTATGGTTCGCCAGTATGCAGGTTATTGGAAAATGAATGCGAGGTTTACTTCAGGGGGATGGGGTTGAAATTCAGGGACAGGTGGAGCAATCTGGGAGGCACGCAACATCGAGGATGTGTTTTGTGGGATGGTGAAGTTGCAAGCTAAATGGCGGATTAAGGATTATTACCAGCATAGAGGACGGGATAGGCCGGTGAGGTTAGGATTACAGGAAAACCTGGAGGGGCAACTCAATTATTGCTATGAAGGGTGTGGGTTGGAGAAATGGGGAAATAGAGGATTTTAAAGGGGAAGGATGAAGGGATATACAGAATCTACGTTATTTGATGCGATACTTGTGAGGGAAGGATTAGAAGAGGTACTATGGGGTGACAAACTGTCAGGATTTGTTTTGCGGAGGCTCAAGGAAAGACAGCAGATGACCACGACTATGGGATTAGAGGTGTGTAAAGGGGTGGAGGGGCTATAGGGTGGGGCAGGTACTAAGAACCACTGATGGAATGAGTAACTAGACTGATCATTGGTTCAGGGAGAATTTTAAGCATGGGGAGGGTGGAGGGAGGGAGAGAGAGATTATAGGGGAGGAAGAGGGCGGAGCTTGAGGGTAGGATCAGTGAGGAGGAGGTGGGGGAGGCGGTAATGAGCTTGAGTAGGGGAAAAGCGCCAGGGATGGATGGGATTCCTAACGATTTCTATATTGCACACTGGGATTGCATGAAGGAATGTCTGGTCTCTTTGCTTAACTGTATGAAGGAAGGGGGAGTGTTGGGGAAATGCAGGGCACGGGGGTAGTTGTTTTGGTTTATAAAGGAGGTGGGGGGAGGACCCTGGGTGCCTATAGGGCGATATCCCTCATGTGCGCTGATTATAAGATATTTGCGAAGGTTTTGGGTAATCCCATTAAGAAGGTGATTGACCTTGTTCTACATATAGGACAGTATGGGATTCCAGGTCAAAGTATGCGTGAGAGGCATGGAAGAATTAGGGATTTCGTGGAGGGCAGACAAGGGGGGATCTTGGGGATCGATTGGAGGCATGCTTATGAGTGTGTTGATAGACTCATGTTGTGGCGTATTTTACAAAAACAGGGTTTTGGGGATGAGATTGTGCAGTGGGTGACTACTTTGTATACACCTGCGAGGGTCAGGGTACAAGTTAATGGGAAGTTAGGGCTGCCAGTACAGATGGGGAAGGGTTTGAGACAGGGTTGTCCCTTGTCAATAAATCCTCTTTGCATGCATGCAGGACCCATTTTATAGGCTTGTAGAAGGAGTTTGGGAACAGGGAGGGAAGGGTCCTGGCAGATGTCAGAATGTGGGGTATGTGGATGACACCACAATTTTGGTGGGAGGGTAAATAGGATTGGGGAATGTGGGACGTATAACAGATTTTTGGTGGGGCGACTGGGATGAGGGTTAATGGAGCAAAGTCTAAGTTAATAAAAGTAGGTAGGTGGGTGCAGGGGGGGGGAATGTATGGGTAGAACGTTGCAGATAGAATTAAAATCTGCGGGGTTGTGTACATGGCAGAGGCTGGGGAGGCGCAGAGGGTAAATTCAAGGAACGTTGAGAGTAGAGCGATGGGTAGGATGCGGTAGGATGTGAGGGAGGAGGGCCGGGGATGTAACGTTGCAGCAGAGGGTGATGGTGGTAAACGCACTGGTGTAAAGTGTGGGGAGTGGCAGAAGTATATCCCCTGAGGGCGTGTGATATACAGGAACTGGAGAGGGAGGTTTTGAGGTATGTGTGGGGTTATGGGAGGCCGTGGCTTCGGAAGGTGGTGGTGATGATGACGGACGTGTGACTTGGTGGGCTGGGGCTAATACCTTTGGACATGCGTGTTAAGGCAGTATATGTGAAGCAGAGGTACCTAAGGGCGGGAGGGAAGAGGAGTATAAGGGTGGAAGAGGTCATGGAGGATGTGAGGAAATGGTGGAAGAGGAAGGTGTTATTGATGTGTGAAGATATAATGCATAATTTATTGACAATCCAGGATGCAAGGAAGGTAAAGGTTAGTAGGCTTGGGAGGACAGGTAGGCAGGGAGAGGTGATACAGGGACTAGATACATACCCGATGTATGATTGGAGGGGCATTTGGGAAGACTTTCGAAAGATTAAAGCCGAAGGTTTGTGAATCGGTATATAGGTTTTTTTCTGGGAATTCTAGCTTCAAGGTCTGTGCTATATAGAATGGGTTATGTAGGTGCGGGGAATTGTCAGCATTGTGGGGAGGAGGAGACAGCTTTTGATGCTGTGTATTTTTGTGAAAACTTGGGGGTTTGTAAGGACATAGTTAGCAAGGATCCTAGGTAGTGGCCGGGGGGGGGGGGAAGTAACATCTCGACCTTGAGGGCGTTGCACTTTGATGTGGGTGGGGTTTCCAAGGACATTCGGCGGGCTGTGATGTACGTGGTGGCAGATTTTTTGTATGTTTCTTGGGGTATGCGTGAGATTGGGAGCGATTGTAGGGTGAGGGCACTTGCAGCAAGTGTGTATCGTACGGTTTGCAGGAATAGGCTACTATATGGGAACGTGTGGGTAAATAGTTTCCCAGTGGGTTATCGTAATCTGACGGTAGGTGTTATGTTAGGGTTGGTGCAGGGTAGAGCTGGAATGGGTGTATTCCCCGAGTGTCACTTTTGTTCTGTTTTGAGATTAGTGGAGGATGGAATGTGGAATAAAAGTGTGTGGTAGTGGAGTACATGGGTG